GAGTGTGCTATTGTTATTAGCTGTCAGTCGTTAAGGCTGCTTTTTCTAGATTGGGGTAGCTGCCTCAAATGGGTTTAGCTCCAAGAGCTAAGCACTGCTTCTATAAACAGGGTTTATAAGTTAGAAATACACAGTTCTTTATGCCATGGGAATTGTTACAGAATCTGAATTCTTCCTTAAAGCAAGAAATATAAACATCTTAGAGACTAATGGCTAGTGTTCTGGTTTCTACTCAAGTTATTTGATGTGGGAAAAAAAAAAAAAAAAAAAAAAAAAAAAAAAAACAAGAGACCATAAGCAGCTTTGACTGTGAAGTGTTAAGGACTCACTGAATGGATGCTTGCAAGGCCTTTAGGAGTTAGCTGGCACATATCTGCCAACCCTTCAGAATGAAAAGAGAACAGAAAGAAACCACCAGGTGGAGAGACCATAAGTATAAGCATTATTTATGATGCCAGCACTTTATGCAAGTGAGCAAGCCCAGGTTGTCGAGTAGTCCAGCTGATGTCAGTGGCTAAATGCCACGGAGCTGTTGGATTCCCCAGGACTCCATACCGAATTCATGCAGTCACCACACTGGAGCTTACTTGGCCTCACAAAATTTTGCTCCTGGTTGGTTGTCAGAACTGCAGACCTGTATAAAGTGGAACTCTTAACTCCTCTTAGTGTTTAGTTAGTGAAGTGGGAACCATTTATCCTCAGTATCTCGTTCTCAAGGTGGGAAACGTGAACCCTTCTTAGTATTTATTTAAAGAAATGAGGACCATTAACCCCTCATAGTATTGAATTAGTGATACTGGAAACAAAAATATGCCAAAAGAAGTAATTTCTTGTTTTGAGTGCCAGTGAGAGTTTTTCTTAAAAACCTTTTAGGTATTCCCACTCCATTGACTGGCATTTTAACTAGCCGGCTGCTAGGTACAGTTAAAAAAGTAATGTTTACTACACTGTTTTCTTTCTCCAATATTCGCTACCAGTGAGGGTAGCGTTCTGTAGAGACCATTTATACAGCTGCTGCCATGGTTAAGAAGGTAGCTGTGTGCACCTCGTATCTGTGGTGTTCACTTCTTGAAGTTGGAGTGGCCAGAACTGTTTTCTTTGGGCTGTTACTGATAACATGGAAGTCTAAGTGATGTGTCTGTTAAAATATTTTTGATGGCGGTACACTGAAATGAAATCATCCAGTTCAGCTGATGTAAGTCAGAAACATCCAAGGTAATAACAGCAACGTATTCAATTCTAGCAGAGATTGTTATTTTTGTTTGTTTGTTTTACTTCTGAAGAGGACTGTGTTGAAGTAAGAGTGAGTATATGGAAAAGAAGCAGTATCTGGTTTGGTATTCAAGGGTGTAACCAGTTTTTATAGCACTGATGCTTTTCTGAAATACTAATATTTTTCAACACTGAGCATTGCCATGTTTCTATTCACCTAGAATGATAAAGAATAAGCAATATTTACTCACTTGTATTTCATTTTTATATAATATAGATAACATTTTAAAGCAATCTGTGCATACACACACACACACACACACACACACACACACACACACACGATTCAGTCCTTGTTTAAATAACTCCTGTTCCTGGAGTTTACAGTTTTTTTGGTTTTTTAAAGATTTTATTTATTATGTATACAACATTCTGTTTCCATGTATATCTGCATACCCTCACACACACACACACACACACACACACACACACACACACGATTCAGTCCTTGTTTAAATAACTCCTGTTCCTGGAGTTTACAGTTTTTTTGGTTTTTTAAAGATTTTATTTATTATGTATACAACATTCTGTTTCCATGTATATCTGCATACCCTAAGAGGGCACCAGATCTCATAACAGATAGTTGTGAGCCACCATGTGGTTGCTGGGAACCAAACTCAGGACCTCTGGAAGAGCAGTCGGTGCTCTTAACCTCTGAGCCATCTCTCCAGCCCCCGGAGTTTACGGTTTTACATACTCCTAGACCTATCAGAGTTTTATAAGTGTACATATGTACATATGTAACATATTAACCTTCATACCAGGTGGTGGGGCTGGTGTTAGTTTGGCCATGTAGGCTAGAATCCACAGTATGCCACTTTCCTTCTTTCAGCCTGTTCTTATTTACTGTGCTGGAAAAGGATTTAACGTAACATATGTCTAACATTAAAATCCACAGTTTCATATGCTCCTCTGGGCGTATCAGAGCACATCTGTAATGTGTAGATGTGCATTGTGTGAGAAGCCTAAGCCAAACCAAGGTTACTCTGTGCTCAGCTTTCTCTCTCTCTCTCTCTCTCTCTCTCTCTCACACACACACACACACACACACACGTTACTCTGTGCTCAGTTTTCACACACACACACACACACACACACACACACACGTTACTCTGTGCTCAGTTTTCACACACACACACACACACACACACACACACACGTTACTCTGTGCTCAGTTTTCACACACACACACACACACACACACACACACACGTTACTCTGTGCTCAGTTTTCACACACACACACACACACACACACACACACACGTTACTCTGTGCTCAGCTTTCACACACACTCAGGCTACTCAGTACTTGTAGTGCAAAGGTTTGGCCACTGCCCTTTGACAAACTGCGGTGGTTGCTCACTGAATGTGTTTCTTGTTTTGCTTCTTCTGCCTTTAACTAAGTAAGTTGTCAGTGGTAAAGAAAGGAGGGGATCGTTCTGATGGCTCTCGCTGTCATCTGTATGATTTTCATTGCTGGGCAAAAACTAATGGTGCTTCTGTGCTGTTAGCACAGTGGTTGAAATAAGCGCAGCCGGGTTTGCCTGTGTGTTTGATGTCTTACACACCTGCTTTCACTCCTTCTACAGTATTGTTTCTAACTGAGGGGATTATAGCAGTCCCTTCATTTGTGCAATGTAGCTGTAGGCCGCTGAGCGCGATTTTGTTACATGCCATGCCATGGTTCCTTCTTAGCAATCGTGACACCTCTCATTTATTCATTGGCAGTGGTTGGAGCATCTGCCCTTCTGGTCTAGGAACTGAAAAACAAAACAAAACCGTGCTTGGCAAATAAGCAGACTCCCTTCTAGCACCTCTTAGTGAGGTGAGGATGTTGGGCAGTGGTCCCTAATCACGAAAGTGTAGTGTTGTACTCAAAAAGCCAAGTTGTTAGTTACAATGTTGTGCCCCACCCCCCCCCCCCCACACACACACAATCAACCTGAAAGAATTCCAAAAAGAAAAGTTATTATTTGAAATGTTGCAGTCCCCCCCCCACACACACACACACAATCAACCTGAAAGAATTCCAAAAAGGAAAGTTGTTAGTTACAATGTTGCAGTTTTCTGCACAATCAACTTCCGCTTTCACTTTCTTTCACTGAACTAGCTTCAAGGAAGAACTGGGGATGTAGCTTAGAGGAGGAGCAAGCGTTTGCCCTGAAAGTACAGGACCCTGGATCTGTCTCCAGACAAGCAGCAGTGTTGGGAGGATGGTATTTGATGGAAAATAATGTTTAATAAAAGTAAAAGTGTCTTTACAAAATGAACAACGAGAAAGGACTCCATTTACTTTAACACAGGGGAGCAGACACACCTTTGTGCTTTTCCGAAGTCACACTTTGACCAGGTGGCAGTGGCACCTGGCAAGACGCTTGTGTGCCTCCTTGGAAGGAGGTGTACAGATCAGTGGCTTCCAGAATATTCCATAGATAATTGTCCCTTCTCTTACAACTGCTGAAACAACGAGAAAAGGTTGAAGGATGTACAAGACAGTGAGAGACCTTTGTTAAAGTGGAATGCTTGGGGTACTCCCACAGTGACCATGGCTGATGGGCATGGGCTCTGAACAGGATGTCTCTAAGTCACCTGCTTCTCTACAGTCACGCTCAGTTCCTGCTGATCTGTAGCCGACCGCTCCTTCTGGTATTGATCAGCTCTCTGTAGCTGTGAGACTTCTATACTGCACTGTATTGTAATTTCCAAACTGTTTTGTCTCACTCTTTTTTTGAACATTATTATAAAAACTTAGTTTCTGATGGTTGAAAGTCATTCTGTAGTAGTCTAATCTTAAGGATGCAAAACTTTTCTGAGTTTTACCTTGGAAATCCGTTTATTTATTATGTTTAATTTTAGGAAATGGTGCTCTTGCAGAACTCTCTGAAAACGTGCACATTTCAGGAGTGTCAGCTGGTAAGTCATCTTTTGTAATGTTTAAATTTCATGCATGACTTATATGGTAAATACTGAAAACCCCCTGGTACCTTATGAAGTGATATTTGGCTATAAAAATTATTGCTGCTTTTGCCGCATGTAATACTGAGGGAAGGAACTGGAACATTCGGGAATTCTCATAAGATAAAGTGATATTGCATGCCTGAGGGTTGATTATACTTCCCCCAAACAGACTGTGTAATTATTTTCATGTGGAAGTTAAACCAAGAGAAAAGCCATCCCAAGTAGGATTAGGTATTTTCTCTCCATGCAAACTTGTGTAAAGTGAAATTAATTCTGAATGTCATCTCTAGAATTTACAGCCTTAGAAATGAAGTGTCTTATTAGATGTTTTAGATTAGAGCGATACTCTACAAAAACCTGTTTTCTTGAGTGCACAGTATGTCACTAGAAGCAATCCATTAGCATACTTGGGTCTGTGGAACTCAGAAGTCCCTGAGAGAAGCAGGTTCTGTGTCCACCTTTAGCTACAGCTTCGTGTCCAAAGGCCACAACTACACTCACAGCTGTGGCTTGTGAGTGGCTTCCCACCCGTCACTGGGTTTGCTCCATTACCTGTAGTTACCGGCACATCAGAAACAATTTATTTTTTCATGTATGGAAATAGTTTCTCACTACTAATAATTAGTACTAATTCTTCATTTCCCTGTGTTATTATTGGTAAGATTTGGGTAGTTAAAAGTGACGCAGCAATATTTATCAGCCCACTGAGTTTCTATTATAAATTTGTTGTTGGTTTTGTGTCTCTGACTTTGAATTCAGGGAGTTAGTGGACTACCCATCCACTCTGGCTAGTCTGTGTGCTCACTTTGTGCTCAACAGACACACCTGGTCTCCCCGAAATCAAACTATTCTGTTCATCCCTCACTTTTTTTTCCATAGGCTCTTAATTGTTCATCAATTTTACACCTGAAATAGAAGCAAAGATGTTTTAGTTTTATCTGATTTATTATCGTATGAGGGGTGCACATATGAGGCAGGCGGTCAGAGAACAACCTGTGGCAGTGGGTTCCCTTCCACAGTGGGCTACAAGTTTTAAAGACGATCCTGTCCCCCTGCCCTCATTTTAATAACAAACGAGACTTCTGATTACAGTCCCAGCTCACAGCAGGAAACAGTGTTGTTTACAAGTACTTTTATTTCTACAACCAAAACTCAGAAGTTTTTCAAAACTTACCTCAGAGCATCTTTCCAATGTTGGTTCTTTCAGCCTGCCATAGCAGGTTAAGCTAAGCAGATGGTTTAAGTAACAGCAGTTTCCTCCAAGTTCTAGAAGCTGAAGTCCAAAGTTAGGCTCTAGCAGGGTTGATTCCTGGTGTAACCCCTCCTACGGGTCTCTCTTCCTTTCCACTTGTTATAGTTCGTTTTTTCTTATAGGACGCTTATTGTAGAACTGGAGTGGCCTCCGCTGCTTTGTTCCAATGAAAATCATGAACACACAAACTACATGTAATTCCTTTTGTGTCAGTAACTCCAAGCTTTGGCAATCGGGACTCTCGACTCTTAGTGTTACAAGTCCCTGGTGGTGTTCTGTGACTGACTTTTCCTGGGTAGTCACAACACACAGAGTTTACCCAAGTCACCCCAAGAGAGGGAGCCCACGACAGACCAAAGTCCAGCTTGGTGAGCCATTGAGTTTTGTTGGGGTTGCTTACAGGGATATGAGTGAGGGGTTATTTACTGGAGCAGAAATGACTCCAAACAGCTGCATCACCAAAGGCCACCCCAGCGTGAGTGACAGTTGACAAAAGCTGGGATCCTGAAGCACACTGCGCAGTCTACAGGCAGCTCAGAGGGTTGGAGGGTTTCCTTTCCAGGCGCCTCAGTTGGACTAAACCCCTTCCCAGCAACTGGTCTGTTTCTGTCTCTCTGAGGCAGCTGGTCTGCAGTCAGTCTTCCTTGCGGATTGGCTCTTCTGAGAGTTTGCTCAGCTGAGAGCTTGCTTGTCTGAGAGCTCCTCTCAGCCATCCTTATTATTTCCTCTCAGAGGGAGGGGCCTAGTGAATCTGGTCAGTTTCGGGAACTTCCTGAAGCTGTTTTGAGTTGTTCACCTTCTGTCTTAAGGAGCTTACCTCCAGGATGGAATGTTGTAACAAGGGAAGAAACCGCTAGACAGCAGATAGTCCTGGAACTCCTCCAGTTGACTGGGCCTGGCCTCTCCTCTGTGGTCTCAGCTCTCTGCATTCTGTCCCGTGGCTCCCTGGAGTCTTGGACTGTTGCTTCTGCTTGTTTCCGAGGCTGGCAGCCATGGGAGTTGATTCTTGGTAAAACCAGCTCACCCCGCTTTCCCTTGAAAAAGACCACAGACAGATAATAAAACTGTGGATGAGTCTGTGTTGGAGTGAAGGCTGCAGCACCAGGGGTGCACAGGACAGAGACTCTGGAGAGAGTGACAGCATGCTGTTGTGTAACCAGACATACATGCATGGCTGTTATGAATAGGTGCAGTGCCCCGGGTGGGCCTGCTGTGAGGAGGTCAGAGGTTGTGCGCAAGGTCATCCGAAGTAGCTACAGGCAGGGTCATTTATTTTCCTATCATTGGAGCTGTCACAGCCAAGTCTTAAGAAAAGCCGTGTCGTGGCTACTGCAGGAGTTCCTGTGTTCATAGTTGGTCTCCTTAGGTGTTAGTGGTTGGTGTAAGTCGCCCTCTGTCATCATCTGTTGATCCAGCTTCCCCTGGACTGTGGGGACGGCCTCAAAAGAACACAAAGAACCAGGGAGGAAGAAGCAGCTGCCATGGCCCTGGTGAAAATGGCAGAGCTGATGACAGCAGTGTGGCTGCCATCCTTCAGGGGCAAAAGCAGTTATCACCCTCAGTCCCAGTGCACCCGGGAACCATGGAGACAACCACGCTTGTCCTCAGGAGGCCCTTGCCATGTCTAGCTCGGGACAGTTGCCTGGTTTGAGCTTTTTCAAAGTTAACCCCTAGCCTACCCTTAGTGGCCTGTCTCACGATTGGGTTAGAAGCCACCCCCACTTCATCTGAGACTGTCTCCAGCACACTGGCACGCACAGCTCAGTGGGTAAATGCCCTTACCACCAAGTTCAGTGCCCAGATCCCACAGGGTGCAGGGAGGAAGCCAGCTCCCTGTGTCTTTCCTCTGAGCCCCACTCTGACTCTTAGGCTCACATGCCCCTCCCCGTACACAAAATGGATAAATGTGGAAAAGATGTTTAAAGTGATAGTGTCCTCAAATATTGGGACTGAGTCTTCAGCACGTGAAGATGAATAAGGGGGTGAATTTAGTTTAT